TTAATTAATAAAAAGATTAATCAATTTACGCCATACTCAATTGTACGTACATCTGATTTTTGTTCCGCTTATCTCTTATAATATCTTCTCACTTTCGGAAATCCTTTTTTAGATATCAAGATAAATAATAATATCGCGCGTTCAGGTAACACAGCCTATTATGGTAAGATTTATCACCTTATCATTTCAATTAATATTTTATATTTTTTTTTTATTATTTTTATTATTTTTATTTAAATTTATTTTTATTATCTATTGTTTATTATTTTATTTTTATATATTACGATATTAATATAAAAAAAATGAATAATTAAAAATAAATGTAATTGATGTTGTTGCTTTTTATTTACGTAGTACGAATAAGGCCTAGATATGAGTTGTCATCGAAGGCTAGAACAGAAGATAATGGCACACGTCTCCACGACTAATTAATTTTAATTACCGAATTTCATCGCATACGATAAGTCTTAGTATCGCAAAGTCTCTATACATGACATTAGTGCTTGTATTCAAATAAATGAATTGTATAAGAGATAAATGTTTGACCCTTCAATAAAATAGATCATTAATCTGAAATTAATGCAGATTATAACAGGATGTTTACTTCTCAGTTTTCTTTACTGGGCTCTTGCAATCTACTTCTCAGTTTTCTTTACTGGACCCTTGCATTAACTTAAAGGTATCGTAACTCTGCATAGAATCAATATTTTCCCCACAAGAATTATTGCAAGCTATTGTTAGTTACCTGCAAGGCGCTTAACCTATAGATTCAGTTACTACTGGATTCATCGTAACACATCCCATTATGGTATGTTTTTGTTTTCATCCAATTGGGTTCTCTTCCGCTGTTACAATCCCACGGTAAAAAAAAAATAGATATCTGATATGTACTGTGCGTACGTTTACTCCCTCATGCAATACAATTGTTAGTTTGTTTACTGATTTTAACTAAATTAATTTACAAAGTTTGTAATTATACTAAAAGTGGTTGTGTTACAATACAAAAAATGGATGTGTTATCATAATAAGTCAAATATTGACATACATTACATAATTTCCCAATTTAAACAAAATGTCACGATTTCAATTAAACAGGTTTTAGTATTAAAAATTTATGATCCGCACAATGTCTTTAAAAAAAAAAAAAATAACCGCGACGAGTAATCAAATCCTTATGCTACACGAATAACTTATTCTAATAACTAGCAAAAATAAAACATTGAAAAAAATAATAAAATCGCGAGACCAAGAAATTAAATCTTCAATGTTTCCTTCGGAAATATCTGATCACTATCTATCGTCATCGGACATACAGCAACTAAAGGAAAAAGGAAAAACCCCCAATGGATTAGTTCTTTATATAATAATATATAAGAAAAAACTTGAAAAGAATTCATTACATAATCTCCGAGAAAAAGTTATTGTTCTCAACGCTGCCAAAGCTTATCGAAATGAATCTGATAAGGTCAGGAGATACTATGATGAATTTGTAAAAAAACGTTTTGTCGAGAGAAATTGAATTGGGTATTTATATTGAAAGAAATTAAAATTCGATAAACGTTCCAAGACAATAAGTATTGATTCAAACTAGTCTTGTGGCTCTAAATATAAAACGTAATAAGACGAAATACAAT